GAATTTCAGTTCAAAGTCAGTGATTCATTTCAGTATTTTAAAAACATCTTATTAATAGCTAATTGAAACAGTACATTCCATCTAACATATCCCCACCTTGGGACCTTTTTCCTTAACTACGGACACAAGGTTCCAAACAATTTAATACAACATCAAACATTAGTAACATGAATTACAACAATGCATAGGATAAATATTTACAGAGCATTCCAACCAGAAATATTGAAAGGAACTTGCTTATACTTGCTTTCTTATGTTTGCATATTAACACAGTTAACATAACCACATACACGATTAGAATAAATTGAGTAATTAAAACAACCACAACTGGATGTAGAAGAATATACCACATTGATCTTATACTTCCCATGTCGGTATACAGGATAGATTCCCACCAATGGGCGGAGGTGGTTTCATCCTTAATCTTTTTTGTAATTTGTTTAATCTCGGAGATAGAATGTTGCACAGTGAGAATAGTTTTACTTCCTTCCAATTTCAAATTATTCAAATACTGAGCCAATTTTTCATGGTGTAACAACTTTCGAATAACCTCCAGATTTGCTCCAACATGGATGGGTGTCAACATATTGTACAATTTATATTCATCGAACACATCTTTGATATATACATTATGTACAGATACATTGATATCACAACCCATTAAGTGTATGACCTTACATATACATAAATTTCCTATTCCTGAATTATTAACTTTATACAAATTATTAACCAAGAAATATGGACATAAACTCTGGATACAAAAACAACCAGTATCCACTTGTACTATGGCAGAGGCTTTACTGAGGGAATGGTGAAACACTTCATAAAAGCAAGTTCCCTCTACAGGGTCTAGGCATGCAGAATCCTCCTCCCACACTTGGGTAGTGCAGGTATATCCCAAGTTGGGTTGATAGACGCATGCTTGCAGATGTATAGGGACGTACGAATTATTAGCGTTAACATGTACTCATTTATGGTCTTCTATAGGGACTAGTAGGTACTGGTTAGCATATGTCCCCAAAGCAACAAGAGGATATATGGTTTCTTGATTAGCTGATTTTAAAGTAAGAATCAAGGCCATGATCGTATCGTTGTG